GATGTGCTTTGTGCCAAATTTACTGAGAATTTTAACTGTATAATTTCAGTGTTTACTCCTTGAGCTCCCTTAGTTCACTCGGTAAGCAGACTCCATCTCTAGCAGAACTCACTCACTGCATTAGTATTTCAAGAACATCCTTGTTACCACACAGGAAGCTATAAATGCATGATGCACATACTTCAGTAGATCATGGTGCCAACTAACGTATTTTCCATGCATTCAGTAATTACAGCTCTCACCTTAAGTCCACTAATGTCACACACACACACAAAATCAAACTGTATCTGCAAAAATAAGATTTAGACGTACACACTACAGTAGCCTCTTGAACAGGTATTCCTGATGAAGCAATAAAAAAATGTGTTAAGCTTGGGATTCTTTCCAGACAGAACATAATATTAAGTTTACTTTGGTGGCATCCAGATCTAGAGACATGTAACAAACCTGATGATTCCTTGGTTTCTATCCAGCTTGTTAGCTAGTTTCTCTAATTTGCAATACCATCTTTTATCTGTGGCATGACCTCAGGATCGACTTTGATTAGCATTAAGAAGCAGGCAGTCAAAATAGCAGTCAAAAATGGAACATCATTGGTAGGAACATTTTCAATTAAGCAAATTCTGACAGTTGTTTTTCCTCCCAAAGCCTTTCATGAAAAAACCAAAGGTATTTGTTTCCTAACTGAATAATAATATGCCAAACACCCTCTGAACTCCAACTTCTATTAAAGTTCTTACAACCCAACTCATTGGGTCCCAAAACAGGCCATAATGTGCTTTAGTATGGCTGTTAATGAACCATTTCAAATGAATCCCGGATACCGAAGGAATTACATGCTGTGTAATTGATCTAAAGAACAGATTAGGACTGGTGCTATTTCATTAAATCTTATTAGCTCTGGCTTAAGTACTTAAAATTGCAGCTGTCCTATGTCAGATAGATTACACCTCTTGTCACATGGCAAGTGAGGTTTTCATCTACCAGACCACAGTTTTTAAAAAGGAGCAGGCTGATGAAAAGAAACACAAACAATTTCCCAAGGACCGCAAAGGCCTGATCTTCAGACATGTCAACCCCCAAATTATTCATTGAAATGAGATAGATATATTCTGAAAGTGTTGAAATGTATGAAGAACTGTTGTTCGTTTACGTATTTTTGTCCTAGATCACTTCTGTGGAATCAGAGTTTAGCTTTTTGGTTGTGGGACAGTCCTGAAGAGTTCTCATGCCTCATGGATGAGGACAATATAGATCTTTATGTAATTGCAGTGGAATCCACGGGGTCCTTCAACAACACCTTTTTTAGCTCTTCTTTCTCTTAGTTGCTTTCCAGTGGAGGTCAGCATGCCACAGGAACCAGTGAGCCCTTGCTAGAGGACAATTTTGGCTGAGGAACAAATGGCTTTAATCAAGACAAGAACAAATTCAGCTTGGAAAATAGTTTATAGCTCTCAAAGAAGAAAGGGCTTTTTTTTGCACAGGACTCAAACTAATTTTTAGGGATCTTGACATGCTTACAAAAGTATTTTTTTACTGGTTTGCTTTTGACAGCAGTGTACTAGACTTGATGTTCCTTATCACCTTCTATTCTTCTGTCCTAGGACCTAGTACTTAACTCCAAAATCTTCCAAATCAAACAAAATAGTAATTGAAGATTCTGATCTGAATTTTCTCTACAAGGCATATTACGCTATATTAAATACTTTTCATAATATCTGGACTGCTGCACTGTGGGAAACAAGACTGAAAATTTGAAACAACATTAAGCAGGACTTCAGATTATACTGACAGTGAAATACTGACAAGAAAAACCCATAGACTTTGGTTAAAACAGGTAATACTCAAAGCTTTCTTAATTATTATTCCTTTTATGAGAAAATATTTAAGACCCTCTCTCTCACATGCAGAGTCACCGTGTTAATACCACAGCCAAAGCAGTGGTTCAGACAGATAAAGACTAAAGTAAAAAGAATCCAACAGATGTATTTTTCAAACATAAGAAATTGTTTCAGTAAACCTAAAAAAAAAAAAAAAAAATTACAATCACAGAAAATACCAACTCCACCTTGAAGAGTTATTTGAACTCTTTTATGTTATTCTGTAAATCTCAGAGCCATTTAACTATCACAGAAATCTGCTTTCCTTCTTATACTGAAAGCCTGGTTCTTGCAAGCCTTCTGCAGCCTGTGGCCTCTGTGCTCAAGGCTTGCCAGGACTGACCGCCCTCAGTTAGACGGTGTGGCCGCATTCAAATGCTTTGCACTGGCCACTGAAAACGTGCAGTAGTGAAATTCTGAGGACAACCAATTCACACCCATTACGGTGGTGTCATAGTGAAAGGTTGTCATGCCTGCTTGAAATCTCTGCAGTAAATGCAGATCTATCTGGGCTTCTCAGCTTCAAAGCTCTTAAACCGCAAATGCAACACTCTTTTTAGGATAGTAAATTTAAAACCTGATATTCCTCCAAATATTCAGCCTTCCTTTTTCATTTACCCAGGATTTGAAAGGCTTGCTGCCCCATTGCTAACCAAGGGTCAAGTACAGATTGGCAATTCAAGACAAGGGTGGGGGGGGAAGGCAATTAAAAAAAAAAAGCACGTGGCATATTTGCTTCTGTTGAGTACAGTAACTCTAATAGTTAGGCATTTAGTAGTCACTGATATATAATTACTTTCAACTTCCAGCTATTTTCAAATAAAACAGTTAGCACTTATTAATTGGAAAGACTACAAACGGTGTGAATGACCTGTGACTTTACTCCCCAAAAAGCTCACCTGGTAAAACGGTCTTTCCCTTCTTTTGCATTCTCACCTCCCTCGGCCAAATATTCCAAGGAGTAAAACTCCACCAGGGTAAACAAAAGAAGAATACAGCTTTCATACAATTTCTCGGTTTTAAATTGTATCTGGAGAGAAGATGAAAACTCACTTACAAATAGAGCTCCTATACAAAGCGTTCAACACCTGCTCCATAGATGGTAGCTATCCTTTTAAGTTGTCTAATAGGTTAACATAAGGAGGTTAAATGCAGGGCAACTCTTCCCAATCTATATTTATCCTGAAGCTTCCTACCTGTTTAAGACCTGCAGGAAGGCTTGAATACTGAGCTTTTTTACTGTATTGCTTGGCTTATTAAAGATGCTACCTCTCCCTGCAAGTCTTATTACACTGTTCAAGAGGTCATGTTCAACTAACCACAACCACGGAATTTTAAGCATTTTTATATTTAGAATCTCACCCAGAATTATTCTTTTGTATATATTCATGCATAACCTGATCCACATGACATCAATAAAGGTCAGCTCTTAGCCACAAATACACTCCAGGAGAATTGGCTTTGTATTACATGTTGCACACTCTGTTTCAAAAACAAAATTGGGGTAAAATATAGTGATACGCTCTTTGCATACCAACCGTGAGTTGACAAGAACTGATGGATTTTGCATGTTAAAAGTAAATGTTTTATTACATATCATGCCCCTGAAAAATTAACTTTGTTTCCATTTCATTTTGTTCAGCATGCCTTGAAATAGGAATGGCAAAAGCTCTTCAAGAAATAGATCACCAAGATTCATGATACCGCAGTGTCTGCAATTACCTATTTTCCTGGCTCAGTAAAACAAAACAAAACTTTTTTTAAAATTACTGTAAAGTATTAAACAGTGAAGTTAACAGATACCATCTCTGTCTCTCCTTCAGTATGACTGAATATTCTGTAATGAAAAGCTGTCTGCCACGGACCCACATCCAAAGCCTGCTGACGTTGACAGTGGTCATCAACTTTGACAGCCTTTTGGATACGGCCTTGTCATTGCCCTGGCTACCTGTGCACAGATACTGCATGAACCACTGGATACATTATTAAATTCAGGTTCACCGAGATGCTGTCAACAGGTCAACTACAGTAAAAATATTTATATTTCAGAGTACCAGTACTTACACATACTGCCTAATTCTTTCTTGCTCTAATTTGCCCTCTTATCACTAGGTTTTTGTTTTTCAAATACTGAAAAGACTTTCTTGGTTTGTTCAGGAAATTTGTTTAGACAGTGCTCACAAAGCATATTTGCTCACATTTGACATTTTCACAGGGTGGGTAACAAAATGGAAGATTCAAGTTGTTAAATTCCACAGATGGCACCTAACTCAGTCAACTTATTTTCAGAAGTAATGAGTATCCAGCTTGCAGGCAGTTTCTGGAACAACACAACAGCGCACCTGCATGTACAGCACTGCAGGATGGGAGCCTTGCACTTACGTACTCAGGGCTTGTGGGCCAGCTGAGACCTCTAGAACTTCATCCATCTACTAGGACATCTACTGCCTCGAAAAAGTTAAATATGCAAGTGCTATATTGTGATGCCTTTACAGTCAAGAAATGTAAAATGTGGCAATAATGGAGCATGTGGCTATTTTACCTATTCAACATTTACCTGTGTCTAACTAGAAGAGGTTTCTAAAATGCTGCTTTTCAGCAGCTTGAAGGTTGAGAACCACCTGTAAACATTTGCGGAACAGTCTCTTTCTAGAAATAGAGACTCCTAAACAATCAACCTTGAAATTTATCATATATTATATTATATCTCCAGAGTTATTTACAGATCTTGTTTAGTACAATGAACCAGACATGCTGAAAAGGTAGGATTTTTCCAGTCCCCTTTTATATGAAGTACAATAAAAAAGGCACATGATTATTCACCATAGGAGTTGTGCACCAGTCAATAACTTAAAGCTAAAAAGCTACCCATCAGAGAACTCTCTTTATGAGGCAGTATTGAGATCTCTCCTTTCAACTCATCATAGAAACATCCGTCTATTAATTCCTCTAGGAGAGCTTAAGGAACCCACTTTTCTGTTGTGTTCTGATCTCCACAAGATTTCCAAATCAACAAAAAACTCTTGTTAAGCTTCTCAGGTCATCTACTGGAGCAAGGAAGAGTCAAAATAGGGCATGTATGTGTCTACGTTTCTTTTTCTTATTCTTCTTTTTTGCCTTTGAATGCCCAACTGTGGAGGACTCTTGAGAGCTAAGTCCTGTTCAAACTAATTTGCTTTAAGACAAATGCCTTGCAAGATATGGCACACTGAGCAATGGACAGCGGCAGGAGAGGCAGCTTCTCAGGCCCAGCAGTCAATGTCGGCCATGTTTTATCCAGTTTCTAATCATCCATTTTTGCCCCGAGCACCTTTGTACGACTAATCTGAGCCCAAAATTTGCATCCTTTGACATTTCCACTTCTAGACAACGGCCAGTGTCTCTGCTGACGATTGGACCATTCTGAGAAAAAGAAAAAACAAAAAAAAAAAAAGAAAAGAAGGATTAGAAGAAGGAATAGAAAAGGTGAAAAGACTAGAAGAAAAATAGTGTTAGGATCTGTAAATCCCTAGAAAGCACTATAAAATGCCTGGAAAGTTCTGTATATATCAAGTGATAAAAGTCCCTAGAAAGTGCTAGAAATTCCTAGGAGAAGTTAGATATCCATTCAAAGCACCAAAACAATTCCTTGATAATTCTAGATTTAGGAATTGCTAGAAAATGCCCCAGAAATCACTAGAAAAATCTCTAAAAAGCACCAGAGAATCCCTGCGGACCCCAAGATATAGGAAATCCCAGAAACTGTAAGAATACCTTTGGAAGTCCTAAAAATTATTTGAAAGCTCTAGATCTAAAAGTTCCTAGAAAGATGCTGGAAAAATCCTAGAAAAGTTCTAGAAACAAAAATTCCTAGACCTTAAAAAAAAAAAAGAAAAATAAGTATGTTCTTGACAGTCACTACAGAAATTGAGAATACTCCAAGAAAGGATAGATAACTAAGAATTCCTAGAAAACATAACCCAAAATTCCCAGTAATAATAGAAGAAAATTCCTGGATAGCATATGACCTATGGAAAACATATCTGACTATTTCTAGAAGGCATAAGGGGGGATTCCTAGAATAGTCCTCTAAAGACCACCTTGCTTTTCATTAAATATCCTCTAGA